TCCAGTGCTACAGCGCCACAGATGTGTTGCTGTAGCACCCATAGTGTAGACATGGCCTTAGTTTACCAAATACAGTAGAAGTCTTTCTCCTTGTAGAGTAAGGACTAGTGCTAACGAGGGCACTGATCCTAGATCGGGAATGTTGAAATGTAATTTGCTTGTGAAACACAGTTAAACAGTTAATGTAAAATAATGACTGGTTTCAGAGTAGCAGCCGTGTTAGTCTGTATTCACAAAAAGAAAAGGAGTACTTGTGGCATCTTAGAGACTAACACATTTATTTGAGCATAAGCTTTCGTGAGCTACAGCTCACTCCATCGGATGCATCCTTTTCTTAATGTAAAATAAGTTATCCAAGCAATATTGAACAATCTAGTGACAGGAAATTATCCCGGAATAGCAATCAAAGCCCAATTTCTTAGCTAAAGAGTCAGCAATTTATTTTCTGCAGTATGTATGCATACTTTGTATTCAAAAACTGACAGCCAAATATATAAATGATTTACAAGGTCAAAGAAAAACTGAATTAGTCTGGTTCTGCATTATGACTTTTTATGGGTATGCTATGAATAAAGCAAAGATATAAATCATAAGGTTGCCCCAGTCAATTAAGTATTATAAATCTCAGTGTACATAAGATATGTCACATATGCCAGTTTTTTTTTTCAGCAACATGTCAGAAATACAGGACATGCTCAATTTCCAATTCTAATCTGCTCATTACACAACTGCCTAGTTGCATATTGGGTCTTTTCTTACGTCTATCCACACACGCCATTATTTCTTTCCGTTTGCGCTGACGAGAGATTTACCTTGGTGCTACTGTTGTTAAAAGTTTAAAAATATGTAGATTTGACTCAAACTAGGAACAAAAATGTATCAGAACCAGAGTTGTCTGCATCTGAATGTACAGCAGGGTACATTTATTTGTAGTTACCAAATGTTGACTGTTCCTTTACAGTAAAAGAATCTGGCAAAAAAGATTGGCTTATATACAAACTATTTTTGAAATATTCTTTGACTGGATGCAATATTTTTTTAAAAGGAGGACTTTAGTAACAATCCATCCTATGATTGTGGACAATTGATACACCCTCGACAGTTTATAAACCCTACTCAAGAACTGTTTCAGGTTATTAATAGAGCCTCTTCATTATGACAACCTTGCCAATTAGCATTCAAAGTTGGAGTCTATGACACTGAGTCGCACTTACCACGAGAACGTGGCAAACTCAACTTCTGTACTTTAGGGACATCGTGAATAAAAGACACTGCACTTTAGGAGGAGGAAGAAAAGTCAGAGGAGAAGGAAAACAACCACTAGTAATTTAACCTGAACTATTTTAAACAATATGGAGTGCAACACTAAGATGAAGCAGTAAAGAAATCTGAATCAAACCAGTTTCAAGTCTTATACTGTTCAGTTTGCTACTAAGACATGTGCACATCCTGAACCATGCTTTATGTTTTAAGGTGATCAGCCAAGATTCTGATCTCAGTTATATCAGTGAAAACGAGAAGGAACTTCATTGGAGTTAATCTGGGTTTTCATCAATTAAAAATAACAGGCCACCACTGATCCCAGTTTAAATGCTCTAGCAAGGGCTTTGTTGTTACAGACTAAAAACAAACCCATCAAAGTGCAGTTGTAGTCAAAAAAGTGACTGGAGAGGCTATCAGAGCACCATATTTATTCCCTCTTCATTACATGCATCTCAGACTGTTTAAAACGAGAGAGGGAAGAGAGCTCTTCAAACCCAACCTATTTCTGAAAAACAAAATCAAGCTATGACTGCGCTTTCTGCTTTTTTTAAAATCAGCAGCAGTAATGCTGATTTGGCAGTCAGACCTTAATTACGATGGTTGAAGATGGGGCTGGATACAAACCAGCTGACAATCCCAGAGCTACACAGGCTCTGTTAGCTTTTAACATTAGATTTTGTCAATAGCATAAGCAAGCTCTGATTCATAACACGTAAGAAGTTGAGAAGTGTAAGAACTGATTTGACTCTTCCATTCTATTTGTTCACAGAATCATGGAAGATTAGGGTTAGAAGAGACCTCAGGAGGTCATCTAGTCCAACCCTCTGCTCAAAGCGGGACCAACACCAACTAAATCATCCCAGCCAGGGCTTCGTCAAGGGCTTAAAAGCCTCTACAGATGGAGATTCCACCACCTCCCTAGGTAACTCATTCCAGTGCTTCACCGCCCTCCTAGTGAAATACTGTTTCCTAATTTCCAACCTAGACCTCCCCCACTGCAACTTGAGACCATTGCTCCTTGTTCTGTCATCTGCTACCACTGAGAACAGCCGAGCTCCATCCTCTTCGGAACCCCCCTTCAGGTAGTTGAAGGCTGCTATCAAATTCCCCCCCCCCTTCTCTTCTGTAGACTAAACAAGCCCAGTTCCCTCAGCCTTTCCTTGCAAGTCATGTGCCCCAGCTCCCTGATCATTTTTGTTGCCCTCCACTGGACTCTCTCCAATTTGTCCACATCCTTTCTGTAGTGGGGGGGCCCAAAACTGGACGCAATACTCCAGATGTGGCCTCACCAATGCAGAATGTTGTTTAAATAGATGATGCTCTTATGTAAATACTAGGAAAGTAAGACTACAATACCACACTTCAAGTGAAGTGTTGTGCATCCTTAAATATTTAGGTCTGAAATTATCATAATGAGCAACACAATTAGAAATATCCTCATGATGAACTAGAAGGATTTTTAATAAAAAGATGAAACATACAGATATATTCTTCAATTATTAGCCTGGCATTTAAAATATACAACTTAGATGTGACAAACACCGTCTACACTACTGTCTCCAACCATACAAGCCAGCAGCAAGTGCGCCTTGCACTACTTTTGAATATAAGACGCTGGCGATGCAGTACCTCCGCTTTTTACAAATTATCATAGCAGCTTGTGGATCGTTGCAAACAGTAATTTGCTTAATCAGAACAACATAAGTGATGCTGTACAAGAGACAAAGATGAAAACAGCCCTTGAACCTGGAGAGCGTACAGTCTCAGGGTTGACTCTGTGCTCATTGATATCCATGGCAAACACTCCCATGCATTTCAGTGGTGCAGGATCAGACATTAAAAAATAGTCTTTCAGGAGACAGAGCGCTGGGAAATCCAAGAGAGGCAACAACTAAAGTGTTCTATTCCCTCTCTGTCTCTGAAGAATGGGTATGTCCAGGACTATATCATGGACTCGCCTGAGCTGGGGGTCTGCAGAGAAAGCTCACCTTCACGTTACAGGAAATAAATTAACACTTGACTCAAAATGGCCACCTGAACACTAAAGTCCATAACATAAAACACTTCATCACTGACCCATGACCCGGCCACATTTGTTAGGTTAAGACAGGGAGAACCTTCCTTTGCTGTCGCAGCCTCACCCAGAACTGCCTTTAAAAGAAACAGCCAGCTTTTTTTTTAACTGGCCTGCTGGGGTCCTAGGATTGGCTTCTTCTTGCTCCTGGCCCTTTTAGCCACTGGAGGACCAACAAATAGCCAATCCTAGGAGGTTTCTATAGGCAACCCCTGTTGGTCCAAACTCACTGCTCTTTTCCACAAGGACAGCATCATAGGGTGGGCTGTGCAAGGCTGTGGGACCTCCAGTAGGGGGCAGCAAATGCCTGGTATATCTGGCACAACCCCCTATATATCTTAAGCATGGCAGTCTTGTAGGCTGCCAAATACAACAGCATTACTATCAAGGAATACAAGATATAAAAGGCAGGCAAGGAACATCATTATTATTATTTTTCTTTTTATTACAGCAGTACCTAGAGATCCCAATGAAGATGAAGGCCTGACTGAGCCAGGTGCTGTACAAAGAGAATGAAAAAGACAATCCACGGTCTGAACAGTTTGTTATCTAGTTAAATACTGGATCCAGTCAAGCTGATATAGAAGATTAGAGGGAGGCTGGTGAAAGGAAGACAAGGTTAGTAGCAAGAGTAATATACTCACACACACCAGCTACAAGCAGAACTGGCAGGTTTCAAGTCCAGTTCTTTTTCTTAGTTTGCTTTTTTTAATAAAAGGGATTATAGTGAATCTGTGAATTTAGTCAAATTTAGATATATACAGAAGAAAATGGTCAATTTTTTTAGTTGTGCGAGAACAATAATACATCCACCATTATATAATGAAGCCGCACTTACCCAAGTCCCTTTGGGTGAAATTCACCCCGTGCATAGGGGCAGCATAAAGCCTATGACCATCTTGAGACATAGTTCCCTTGAGTAAGCCCTATTTCAGTGAGGCACCGGCCTTATGCTGACTCATTGCAGAGAGCTGAATTTCACCAATTTAAACTAAAGGTCTTATCAACACAGTAGTTTAACATACTACTAACAACCATTTTAAGAAGATATTCATCAACTGTACTGCTTCTATGCATTTGCTGGAAGCAAATGGAAGGGTGTGATGCTAAGTACAGGCTTGTATGCATTTAATAATCAACCTACATACTGCAGATTGGGTTGTGCTTTTTGGAACATTAATATTCTCTGAAACACCACCATACAAATGGCAAATCATGCAACCACAATACCCAAAGGCTTCAAAGAAAAAGTTTTATGGTGCTTACCACTCAACCATGATATGTGCCATCTAACTCAGCAAATGGTTGATTAAATATTTCAAGGTAAACACAATGTAAATCTGTGCTGAACAAGATAACAATACGGGTGACAATTTGCAGCTTTGATGTAGGGCTTTTAGAGGGATCTTTTTGCTAGTAAAAGGTGGTTTGACTTGGTAATGTACAATGAGAAAAAAACTGAAAAATTCATAAGCTTCTTTTAATTAATAATTAATCTGTAAATCAATGTAGTCTAGCAATTTATAGTAGCTGACACCATAGAGTGCTGAAGGCTATAAAAAAAAATCAAATGCATGCCTTCTGAATTGATACGTTTCCTGGCAGCCCTTGGTTTCTTATCAGAAAGCCACTGCTCCCAGAGATAAAGCAGGCTGTTTTTGACATAAGACAGAAGGACACACTGTAATATATTCTGCATTGTGAACTGTACATGACGTCCTGGAATACCATTGATGCTGTGCTCATAAAAACCGGGGATCTAAATTTTTAATTTTTGACGACCCCCCAGTCAGGTAGGATGTTGAATTTTCTCTTAAAATTGGAAATGTGAAAGATGTTAAGCTGTCTTGGTAGCTTAAGTCACTAATACTTTCCTAATGTGTTAATCCTCTGCACAGTAAATTCCAACCCTAGTAGTGCCAGCTGTTTTGGGATTTGAAATGACGAGGAGGAAAAAGGAGAAAGAATGGAAGTTTTGATGTGTTATAGACCTCTGTGTCATCAGGCTTATGTAAGGGGCCTTGCACTGTTATCAGCTCATCTGGATGTAGACTCTTACCACTTAAAATATTCAAGGGACGTTTTCTGAACAGTACGCAGAGAATTAGAAGTGCAAGTCCTATTCTCTGGACACCATGCTGACAAGCTATCTATTAGAGAAGGCAGATAATAATAGCTGGTAAAGAATTGTAAAAAAATATTTTTTGCAGGGCTCTGGGTTTTTTTTTTTTTGTCAAAGAAATGCCTATTGCAATACACAGAAATCTAGGACACAAATGAGCCTCAGAGGAAAAATAGCTTCTTGATTTAAGAGCTGAGGATCCGGTGTGCAACACAGCCGGAATGAGATTTGGGGGTAGCTAGTTTTGTCATCTTTCATCTTCATTATGCTTTAACAAGGCCATAACAGCGGCATTTATACCAGCCCTCCATTGAATGTATTTTAAAGAACTTTATTGACAGATGATACCCATTTGCCAGCATTCGTACACCAGGCAGGAAGTATTTTCCTTTGCTCCCCAAGGCCCGGACTCAGGTGTTTGACTCAGCCCTGAGAATGGCATGTTGCATGGATGGAGCACCATGATGAGCCTCCAGAAAGCACGATGCTGCAGGGACCCCCTCCCCATGGACAGCAAATATACTTTATTATCCCTACTAGCTGCTCCATGTGGTGGTGGGGGGAGCCATGACTGCCTGCTCCCTAACCCCTCACTCACAGTGGGAAGGGGAGATATCAGGCACGTAGCCACTGCACTGTCACCTCCCCCAGTCCAAGATCTGAGTAGGTCCCATGCAGCAGATCAGGGGTGTGTCTGTGTGCGCCAACATTAGGAAAGAAAAATTTCCATCCCAAAATAAGAAAATACTAGTTCAGAGAAATATCAAATGCTGCCCACTGCTTCAGAGCTCTAGAATCTTGAAAGGGAATCCTCCAAAACCTTACCTGCAAGCATCAATATCCTGTACTAAATCCATGGCCAGGCACAACAGAGACAGGGAGATATGGGAATAACTGTAGGGAGTAGAATTTTTTTCAAATTGACCACAGTAATCATAGTATAAAAAGAGGCAGAAAAAGAAGTCAACCTTTTCTGGTGTCAAGAGAAAAAAAGTTTTAACTAGTGCACGTCTTTTTATGAACCTTTCAAGAAGGCCTTGATTCAGCATAATTTCTGTTATACTACCCACTACCGTCACTAGTAATTTTACCAAAGGTTTTTCTGCTCTTCAAATACAAGTAGCATCATTAAAAGTTGCCGAAGGGTACCTTTAACTTAGATTCCCTGGAAACAGTCTCAGGTTTAGAGTAATCAAAATATTGATGATGAAATGCAAAACTTCTCTAAATTGACAGAATTCGAAAATATTTCCAGTTTATCTTAGACTTTTGCTAAGGTACACAACATTTTCAAGCAACAGCAGGCCCACCTGCGGAGGAAATGACTGAGATTTTGAGCAGAAGAGACCAATTTTCAAATCAAAATGAGCAAAACTGGGGCCCTCTTCTGAGCAAAGGCAGCAGCCACCCTGAATACTTGCAAGCCTCATGTTGACTAGACAAAAACTGTCATTGCACACAACTTTGGGAAAGGGTCAAAGTCAGGCAAATCAGGGAAAATATTTCCAGCAAAATTCCATGAAATGAAGTTTGTGCATGGAGAATATTATTCATTGGTTATTTCATTTCAATTTTTTTAAAACTGTCAAATAGAGAATTCAGCAAACATAATGGACACGTATCCAACTGGTTTCATAAGCTGGGAAAAAGCCATTCAGTATAATTTATTTTAAAATTAATGGAATAAGTTACTCATCAACTATCATTTGACTAGCTCTGCTTGGGAATTACACACAGCCCCATTAGATTTGCCAGTTAGTAATCGTTGTGCTGTCTCATTCACTTTTCTTACAATTCACCACCTCCTCTCTGGATTGCACAACTCCTTCTGCATTCTGACCAAGCATTTCATCATCCACTGAGCTGACAAACATTGACTACATGTAAGTTTTACTGGAGAAGAGCTGTATGTAATTTTCCAATTAGCTATGCAAAATCTGACCTTCTGCGATGTGTAAATCATTCACAAATAAGGCCACACACTACTGGCTGTTAGTTAAGTAGCTGCAGATCATTGGTTATTTTTGTTATACCAGCAAGCATCCATATTACCTAATGAACTAACCCTGCAGTAAGAAAATAATCAGAAGGTACTAGAGTGAGCTATTTAAGGTGGCACAGGGGACTTGCACAATGTTGTATAGGCTGATGTTTCTTTCTTTAATAATTGAAATCTTATTTCACAGTTCACAAGCTTTAGGGCTGTGCCTGGATCCTACAATAAAAATATTCCCGAGACTGAGGCAGTTGGTCCACCCTTCCTGAATGCTAATGATAGAAGGTACAGCCGCTATATTTCCACATTTTATCTACAGCTTTGTCTGCCCAAGCCCTCTAGAAGACGTTAATACATGCCAGAACACAGGTCTTCTTAGCAGGTTTGAACATTTGAAACCTAAATTAGCTCAATTTTACCTACCTGTTCTAGAAAGAGGGTCTATAAATGCTTGTTTAATCACACTAGTATGCAGATTTCCATGATGTTTCTGAAAATAGTAAAGTAAATCCTGCTTCTTTGGGGTAAAATTAAATTAGCAGTTAAATTAGCTTTTCCTCAAATCATTAGTTTTGAATATATCAAGTAGCAATTTTAGTAGAGTGTCGGTGGGGAAACCGTGGCTCTTCATGCTGTGCAGGCAGCATCCCTTAGGTAGCTGAATTGCTCCCTAGAAGGCCCATCTCTACGCTGCACCAGTGAATCTGTTTGTTTTTTCCAGTGGCACTGTGGCATCACAGCCAGATGGTGCCACTTCCAGGAGTTAGGTTACCTTTCAGTTAGGTGCAAAGTGAAACGGCACTGGCAGAGAGATGGCAGCTGTACAGAGAGCTACTGCTTACCTGTAAACTGGCAGGCATCTCTCTGCTCACGGCACAAGGAACTTGGTCATCTCCTGCCCAGGACGCCATTGTAGTAATAAATAAATAACTAAATACATACATACACTATTGTGCCCTGCACCCTGGACAGACGCTCCGGCATGGCTTTTACCTGCTAGGCAGGTCCTAACCTGGCTGAAGCCTACCAGTGGCACTGCGTTTTTGCATATGCTAAATGTTTCACCTTCCACTGGGTGAGGGGAGAAGGTGCTTTCCCAAAGCGATGCCACTAGGGTGCTGGGAAACGGAGCCGCAGGTGCTGTTGGTGACGTGTATTCTGCCCATTGGGGAAGCTGACAAAGCCTGAGCAGGAAGGAAGTTTTGGGCCAGTCCCTCTTGCCAAGATCAGGGGCTCAAAGACGACTCACTAGAATGGTGGCTGGCCAATCATGGGCAATAGGCCTGGGGCTCCTGCCACCACATGGGTCATGATTTCTGGCAAGGTCTTCCTTCTTTGGTTCACTCTCACCTGCTGTCACAAGAAGCTGTTGCCAATCTGACCCCACATCGCTGGTCTGTTTAGGGACTGCCACGGTGCCTGCATGAGTGGGAGAGCTCCTCAGATCCTTTCACCCTTGCAACTTCACATCTGGCTACCCACTGCCAAGCCCCCAATATTCCATTCAGCAATCAGCATGTGCCTGTGGCATGGGAGGAAGATCGGGGAACAAAGCCCTGTGTATGGCATTGTAAATGAAATCTAGGGGAATTCTTCATTCTGATCTAAATCATTAATCGAGTTGGGAGCATTCCATGTTTGTCCCTTCGCAAGGACAGATTGTTCTCTGCTGCTGCTGGGGGGGCGGGAAGCAATTCTAGCAGAAAATTTTCAAGTGAATTACGTGAAGGTTACATATTTATGAGCAACAATACATCAAGATAAATATTACATTCAACAAAACAGAAAGAGAGAGAGAGAGAGAGAGTGGAGAAAGTAGATGTTGCCTGCTCTTCTGTACATTTTCAAAGGCATTTAAAGAGTAGTTGGGGTTGGACTGGGAAAGCAAGATACCACTCTCCTAAAGGAACATTCTTTGAAGCTATATTTAAAGCACTTCTGGAGCCCCAGAATTCCAATTTAAATCATTCCAGGGACGTACTGGTCACCAATCATCTAGCTGCAGACACTGGAGCGTGGAACAAAAAGAAGGGACTGATTACTCAGGTATTATGGCATTGTACAAGGGTGAAAGGCACTCCTATGCGGAGGGCCAGTGCCTCACGTATGTGCCCTGTAAGCCCCACTCCAAGGACATATAGCCCAAGGTACAAGGGGGCCTGCAGTGTTCAGGTGATTTGGTCAGATTTTTTCTTTATAGTTCATCTGTTACACTAGGATTCCAAGGTGAAATTCGAATCAGTATCTGACAAAACATTTCATGTTTTTTACTGCACTGCACAATAAACTATGATTTTGAATAGCTAATCTTGCAGTTTAAATGTTAATTCTAATGGACATGGGGGGAAAAACCCTGTATATGCCCAACATATGGAACCCATGTGGGGTATCATTAAAAACAATTACAAACCACACTGGATAGGGACCACATCCTGAAAGAAGTCTTTCCCAAAACCCTTGGTTGCCTTGGTAATCATGCAGCCCTGTGCACTGCTGCCCCAGCTCTTATCAGGAGCACTGAAGCATGAGCAGCTGAAGGAAGTGATGCCACTGGATGCAGCCTTCACCTGGGGGCTGTGGGGTGAAGAGGGTCAGGGTACACAGTGGAGGGTGGTTATTATGCACATTCTCCTGGCTCAACTACAACATAGTACTAGAATAGCATTGTGGCTTGA